TCTAGCACATTAGCAATGAACCCTTGACATCCTTGTAGCAATAACTTCTTCGCCGACATTACTGAAATTACATTTGCCAATGGATTCCATTCTTCACTAAATACCACCACATCTACCCCTTTTGGACTTCTCAGCGTTACTCTTTTCAATCTACAATCGACATTAGCGTAATAACGATATAACCAATCTATTCCCAGTATCATTTTAAATTCGTCGAAAGGTAATTTCATCAAATTAGCAGGAAATTCAATTCCATGAATTTGTATGGGACACCATCGGCTCACCAAATTTATTCGGGCACTGTGCCCTAATGGGTTCGTCATTATCACCTCATTGCTAGTAGTTTCTAACGGAATGTTCAATTCTTTCACTAACTTACTAGTAATGTATGAATATATAGACCCCGTATCAATCAATACAATTACACCTTTGTCAAACAATAGAAAGTTACCTGTTATAATATATGGGTCATCACAATCCTCATTGGTCTTGAGGTTGTACACTCGAGCAATTGAGTGTATCTCCTATTGAGCAGAGGATTCCGATTGGATTCTTCCTCTGCCTCTACCTCTTACTCTTTGGCCTGCAAAAATAGATCTCTCTGGCTGTGTAGATTCACTGTTAACATTGGCCAATCCCGAACAAAATGCCCAGTGTCCCCACATCTAAAGCAAACTCCAGAAATCATCCGACATATCCCTGAATGATTCTTTCCACAATGTGAGTATTGTCTGGCTTGACTCTGATTAGATCTCCCAGCTCAAGATCCCACTGACTGAGTTTGTCTACCTCTCATCTGATTTGATCCTCTAGTGGAGGATGCCACTGACTCTGATCTAACTTGGGGTCGAAAACTAACATCTCTGCCCCTTTTTGATGGTGCGAAACTCGATGAAGCACCCGTTCTTTTGACTGTATGAGCTCTCGAATTTCAAACCTCTCATTCTGAGCTCTTTCCAAAGCCTTGGTATGGTTTACTACCTCTTGAAACGAGGATAAATTCAAGATAATTAACATTTTCTTCAACTGAGGACGTAACCCCTCTACAAACCACTCACAAGTATCATTCTCCGTAGGAACTAGTCCGACAGCAAAGCGAATCAACTTATTGAATTCACACTCGTACTCATATACAGTGTGATTTCATTGCTTCAAATTCATGAACTCTTGCTTCATTTGATGAACAAATTGATCTCCGATGTACTTATGCTTGAATTCTTCTAAAAATAATTACCAAGTTATTTGGGCGTTAGACATCCTCAAAGTAACATTGGTCCACCAGATCCTTTCTTGTCCTCTCAACAAGGAAATTACTCCATCCAGTTTCTCAGCATCGGAACAATGAAGTCCCGTAAGCATGACCTTCACATCATTAAGCCAAAGGTCCGCAGTAACAGGACCTTTATTGGCTTCCCCTATAAACTTTGGAGCTCCTAATCCCTTCAATTCTTTCGCAATATTCATTTTTGGAGTTGAAGTAACAGAAGGTTGGAAACGCGTCAATACCGCGTCTAACGTTCTAAAGAATATATCTTGATCATTTACAGGCATTCCAGAGGATGTCTGTTCTTCACTCTGCCTGGCCAGGGCAGGTGAATTACTACTTTCAGCGGGTCTATCATCTCCCAATTCATTCCTAGAACTACCTCGTCCGGACATCTATAAAAATACAACCATATAGTTCTATTAGCAAAACATCATACTTACTATCCCATCAGATCAGAAGTTTCCACTATTTTGTTGGTATGTATACATTATCAGACACTCTAGACTCCGGTTTATGCCGAGAATCGACTAAACTGTAGCTCTTATACCATTAAATGTAACACCCCTAACTCATATTCGACCCCAATACAAGTCCAAGATATCACATTGACTTTTCAAACTTTATTTCTTAAAGAAAAATCCCAGGAATTTAAAACTTTCATTAAAACAAAATACTTTAATTTACATAAAAGAGACCACTTAATACAAAATCGATCAGAGCATTCGTAATTAACCAATTATTACATACCAACACTTTATACACAACAAAATACCTACTTTGTCAATTACTTCTAATCTGATTTCTTAGTAATGTTGTTGTCCGTGCCACTTCTATTCTGAATCTTCTTATTTCTTGGTACCTACGTGTAAACCACTTACACGCTAAGTCATAGACTTAGTGAGGCAATAAATAAATATGCAACAATATCTTCATGAATATGTATTCTTACCATTTCCTTCATGACATTCCAATATGCATGTATCTATTACACAATAACATATATAATCATATCATGCATGTACAAAACTTACCTTTTTGTACCACTTTCACTTTACTTTGTATTTCAATTGCCCATGTATATTATTGAGAATAGAGGTATGTGAGTGCATTGAGGTTGTGCACTAATACTGTCACCACAGCTCGTATCAATTCCCTCATGGGGCACCGAACCTTAGTTCAGTATTCGTCCCGAAGGACTGTCATATATGTCCCGTAGGACCACTACATCCCGAAGGACTACGTCCTGAATGACTATTATACCCTCGACTCTTGGCATGCCAATTACACCTATAGCTCTCATATCATATACTATGGGCATTATTCTTATATTTTATATGTTCATGTACTCATGTCATTTCTCTTGTGATCATGTAGTTCATGTCATTTCTCTTGTGATCATGTAGCTCATGTCATTTCTCTTGTGATCATGTAGCTCATGTCATGTTCTCATATCACATATCATATCACATGTGTATTTGAATCTATTCATATATATACATCATTTATCCAATTACATGAACATATATATGCCTTATGCATGTATTACAATAATTATCATATATGCATGTTCACAACTATTGTACTATGAAAATCAATGTAGGAATTATACATAATCACACATGGATCTATATCAGTATTATAGCTAATATACTCTAATGGTTCACTCTTTAGATTAAGATAAATGTCAATTTCCTCTTTTAATGGAGGTATGCATCGATGCACTACTTGTGCATCGGTGCATAAAATGCATTCGATGTTTTATTATTAATGGGATGCATCGATGCATGCCTTATGCATCGATGCACTAATTGCATTCGATCTTTTTATTTTAAAAGAGTGCATCGATGCACTACCTGTGCATAGATACACCTTCAAACACTTTCTGGGTTTTAACCTTGATGCATCGATGCACTCTGCCCAGAATCCTCTTTTTGAACCCGAAAATTCATTCATTTTGGATTAAATCCTTCATGTTTAATTCTCTTTTCATTCTTAACTATAGTACACATCCTTAAACCAATTTATACTCATTTATTTCATCTTAAACCTCCAAATTCTATCCTTCATATGTAATTTAAGAATTACATCAATAAATCAACATGTTTGAATTCCACTTCTAACACTTCGTATATATTAACTAGATTGATGACAAGTCAAATTTAACTTTCAATTCTAGTTATGAACTCTATTCCAAGATTTCATTTAAGAACTTCAAATCTTAAATCTCTCCTAACTCCATCATCTTTTGATGTTAAGATAACTTAAGCTTTCCTTAAGATTAGTTATCATCTAATAATCAAAACCCAATATTAAATTTAACAAGAAACTCAATAATCAGAAATCTTACCTTTGCTTTGGTTCACACGCACATGGAAGAAAGAAGAAGAAGAGAACTCTGGAAGTCTTGGGTGTTTTCTCCCCTTCCACCCACATGTATCCTTGTATATACATACTTATTGTCATTCCATTCCTTATTCCTTTCAATTCCATCCTACACAATAATTTACATGTAAATCTTTATACTATTCATTCATTTTATTTTAACCACCAAATTATGAGACTTTACAATTTAGTCACTAACCCGGTATTGAGGATGTTACAAATAATGTTGTCATTTCCCTTGGTCAAATTTATCTTCTAAACTACGTGCATAGTCAATATAAGACACAAAATTATGAGACGGATGAAGTATTTAATAAATTAATCAATTTATAATTTTATGAAGTGAAAAATGGTATTATTGTAGAAAATGTATTTTTTTAAATAATGTATAATCTTATATAATGAAAAAATATATTTATCCACTCGAGATCATAACATTACTTTTTATATTATATTATATATAAATAAATATGATACTTATGAAGAATACTTAAAAATATAAGTTTGATATAGTTATCATATTAATTATATGTTAAATGTATTTTTTTTCCTTAAAATAGTGTAATAATTAAAATATTTTTATGAACTTTCATTCAAATATTGATAGTTTGATATTAAAGTTTAACTTGCTAAAAAAATCTATATCACAGATAATTTAATAAAATATGTATACAGATAATCTTAGTGAACCAAAAGGTTCAAGTTATTTTAGGAGAATGTAGTACTTATAGATATATATACTCTGTCTCTTGTGTGATATATTTTTAAATCTTTTTGTGTTGTCTCTGTTGGTGGCTAGGAGTAGCCATGCCCTTGGTGACTTGGAGTAGCCACGTTGGTGTAAAAGATTCCGCATCCTAAGTCTTGAGGGCTTGGTTCCAAGCTCAATGGGTTTGCAAGGAGAAAATCCAAAAATATTAAGAAGTCTCTTGAAAGTTATGAGGGAGTGATATATATATATATATATATATATATATATATATATATATGTATATGTATAAATAGTAATATTTTAGTAGATGAAATAATTTGTCTAATTTGTTATATTTTTTTATTTCGAAACTTAATATAAATTAAAGTTATAATGACTTAAATTTAATAATTTAAGTCACAGAGAGTAAGTTATTTACCATTTTGAATATTGGTTGGTTGAAAGGGTCAAAGATTAAAAAAAAAAAGAGAGGATAAAATGGGCGAAACATAGGACGACATGGAAAAGAGCTAACAACCGTCAAGCCGAACACTCATCCCCGATCATTGCGCAACTCTTTCCTCTCACTGCCTCTTTTTATTATTAATCATAATAAATAAGAAAACAAAGATCCATTGTATATTATTACCCAAATCTAAGAAACGAAAAGGAAAGAAATATGTCTGGAGGAGTGTGGAAAAGATGGAGGAAGCTGGTGGTGATGGAGCATTTGAATTGTTTGGCCCATTGGAGGAGGATGACCTTTGGTTTAGGAGGTGGAATTCAACATCGTTTCTCTTCTACCGGCGGTGGAGACGGCGGAGGCGGCGACAATTACGATGGCAATGCCAAAAACGATGCTACTACTAACAGGAATAGAAGCAAATGCAAATCCAAAACCAAAAGCACTGCCACTTCTGCTCTTACTCGTAGGATCAAAGCCGAGATAAATTGTCCGCGCTGCTCCAATCACAATTACTTCAATTTCGGTCTCCCCCATACTTCCTTAGATTCGTCTGACACTAATTCCAGCAACGGTAAATCCACCGTTAATTTTTGCCCCACTTGTAGAACCGCCTACCACTCTCGACCCCACCGTGTATACCCTCTCCAGGGCACTTTCTTGGAGATTAAATCCAATTCCAAAACCGCTTCTCCTACTCCTACTACTCCTCGCAACAACGTTAGGACATCGTTTTGGGACAATATTAGATCCGAGCATTCTCCGCCAACGCCGCCACCACCTCCTGGGAATGGCCTCACTGTGCAAATTCCGCCTGGGCCACCCTTTCCTCCCGGAGTGAATTTCCTAAGAGATGATGGGCTCAAGGAAGGCAACACTAGTGGCAATGGCACATGGTTGGGAGGGGCCAAGTTGGGGAAGGATTTGCCTACGCCGAAAGAGATTTGCAAAGGCCTTGACAAGTTCGTTATTGGCCAGCACAAGGCAAAGAAGGTGCGTAATTTTTAGATTTATGACTAACTAAATAAATGAAATCCAAATACTCATATATTGCAGTAAATCCATTATTACAGGTGTTGTCAGTTGCCGTTTATAACCATTATAAAAGAATATACCACGCCTCCTTGGAGAAAGGGTTAGTTTCCATGCTTGTTATGAAATTTTGAAACTGGTGTTTATTATCTTAGCTTAATTGTATTCCATAGGGTAAACTGATATACAACACAGTCTTTAGATAACTTGGGTCACGAATTTGAATGCTAGGTCAAGAGTAGAAGCAAGTTTCGAAGCACTTGAGGACAATGAAAATGTGGAGTTAGAGAAAAGCAATGTGCTCCTGGTCGGACCAACAGGCTCCGGTAAACACTCTCCATTATTCCTAGGTTCCTAGTTGGATGCATGAAATTCCTTTACTGGATTACCTTACTTATACATGTGCATATCCTACGACAGGAAAGACTTTATTGGCAAAAACTCTGGCTCGATTCGTCAATGTCCCTTTTGTCATTGCCGATGCAACAACTTTGACACAGGCAAGTCCATCATCCACTTTAATCTTTGAAGATCGTGTAAAATACATATTCTGGAACATTTGAAACACATTGGCCCTGAGCTAAGTAAGGGAAGCTGGCACTCTCTGATCCCTTATTCACCACTCTATTCTCCCCAAGACTCGAATATATTCCTTAATTATCATGTATAGGATTATCATGGTTGCAACTTTCAACAATCAAGCTTGAGTTTGTTGAAGTATTTTATCTGATGACATGAGCTGTTAGGTATCATCCTAGCCATAACAAAATCTTACCATGGGAAATAATTGCTGCCTTTTGCTGAACACCTCTGAGGTCCTAGAAGTTATTCTTACAATAGGTCCCACTTTTGTTAGGCAAACATTCTTTTTAACTTTGGCTGCTCTATTTAATGAGGTAAATTCTTCCTTTTTGCAGGCTGGTTATGTTGGTGAAGATGTTGAATCAATATTGTACAAACTACTCACGGTATTAACTTTATTCTTTGCATCATAGGACTTATAGGCAGATTTTCATTATCATATCATTAGTGGAACTCAGAATATCTTTAGTAAGTAGTATGATGAGGGAGTGGGGAAGACAAGTTTCTCCTTCCAGGCATATGCTTCAACCAATGAGACATCGGTACCTCCATTTCTCACTAAAACACATTGAATTTTCTTCCCTTCTATCTCTTACCCCTAGTTGTTATGTATCACAACTCTTCTAATTGTTCAATGCCTTTGTGTAAAGTCAAACATGCTGGAACTAAAGAGTTATGAATGTGAACCAAAACTATTGATGGCATTCCTTCAAAATTGTATAAGAAGAATGTTTGGAGAGAGAATATTAAGCAAAGAAATTTGTACCAAAAATCCAGCCATGTTAGAAGCTATATATGTAGAGGAAAGATGGTACAATTAAGACAGAGTATATTATAAGAGGGATAGTTATTTTCCAAGTTATCCTTATGAGTAGTTTTATACATTTATGTATATATGTGTGTGTGTATAAATCCATGCACAATCACTAAAAGAGAAAGAGTGCAGGCTAGGTCATGTATTCACATATCAGCACTAATATATATTTGCTTTTTTATGTACGTCTAGGCTGCAGAGTTCAATGTAGAAGCAGCTCAACAAGGAATAGTTTACATTGATGAAATTGACAAGATAACTAAGAAGGTTCTGCAATTTTTCAGCTCTAATCTACCCTTTCGTTTTTTTTTTAAATCAACTCAAATTTTTGGTTTTACGTTTTAATCCAGGATATCTTTTAGACCTAAAATTTTCTCAAATGTTGAATTACTTTTGCAGGCTGAGCGCTTAAACATTAGCAGAGATGTTTCTGGGGAGGGTGTTCAGCAAGCGTTGCTGAAAATGTTAGAGGGAACTGTGAGTTATTGTCGTTGTTCTTTAGAAAATAAGTTCTTTGGTTGTAGATTGGTATAGTGTTTTTATTAGTTTATATATGCAATGAGATGTGACTACCATCACGTTTCTTATATCTAATATGAGAATATTTATGTTGGTTGCCCTGTTAACTTCCTGCAAAATTGCTTTCCAGTGAAAGCACTTAAGTGGTTGCCCTGTTTCTAAGCTTCTCCACCTTGTTCATTGGTAGCTTGTCTAATAATTATCTGGGTGTTTGAGTGAACAACTGGGATACTGGTTATAATTTCTGAGCAATATGTAGAGAGATAATTAGTTATTTCCTAACAGAAAAACGATAATTTGAACAAGACTATCAGCTGAAGAATAATTGTTTGCTTTCTTGGAACGGGGGCATGATTAATTATGAAAGTAAATGTTTGGAAAAGGTTTAATCTGGAGAAGAGATTTAAGATGAAGCCCAAATTAGTAACTATTGTTTTAAAAATGTAGTAGACTAAATCTTATAGATTCTAGAAAACCTATAGGCTATATTCGTGTTGAACTCTTAAGTTTGACAGTATTAACTAGTAATATTTTCTGTAATGGTATTGTACTTTTTCCCCTATCATTGAAAGGAAATGGGAAAATAACATAAAATATCATTTTTTATTTGTTTTTTTTTTCTGTTCATTTCGTTTAGCTGTCTAGCTCTTTGGTTGAGAGCCAATTAATGTAACATATATGTGCTAATTTTATATAGAAATTCAGTTTAACTTAAGAACCTGTAATGCATCAACTTCTTAGTCTGTGGAAGATTTAATGAATGAAATATTTATATTTGGAAGTCGCAATCAGGATATGCAACATGATATAATCTACATAAATTTCCAATATTTTTTGTTTTGTCTCTCTTTAGTCTTTTCCAAACTTGATTTTGTATGAGACCTACTTTGAGGTTTTAAGCAGCATCCTTTCTAGCTGCCTCGCAGTTGATAAATATTACTTTGGGCAGATTGTAAATGTTCCAGAGAAGGGAGCAAGGAAGCATCCTCGGACTGGCAGTATACTGGTATTCTTTTGATTTATCATGTCACTCATGATGAGCATGTTATCTTGTGCATCTACAACCTACTGTATGCTTTTTCAGTTCAGCAACTATTATCATATTTTTCTCTGCTATATGGGACAGACTGTTTCAAATTTTAATGGCATGAAATTTCTTTTACGGTTTTATTTATGAATTTAGGATGGTTCCTTAGCTCCATTATTTAATAGAGAGAACTTTTGCAACTACCCTTAAATGGGATGTAAATCATATGCAGATAGACACAAAAGACATCCTTTTCATTTGTAGTGGAGCATTTGTTGATCTTGACAAAACAATTTCCGAGAGGTAAACTCTTACTAATAATGTACTAAAAAGAAATTCTCTTCCAAATGTCTTGCATTCTATATTTTAAGGCGTTTAATTATTTGTTGGTGTAAACCAGACAGCAAGATTCTTCAATTGGTTTTGGAGCACCTGTTCGTGCTAATATGAGGACCTCGTGGGTAACCAATGCTGCAGTGACATCGTCTTTGCTTGAATCAGTGAGAATAAAAATTGTTTCCTACTTTCTTTCTAATGATAAGACAACACAAATAACGTTTATATCAAAGAACATCAATTACGTAAAGTTTCACTTAGATCTTTAAGTCACATTTGCATTTCAGGTTGAGAGTTTCGATCTTATTGCATATGGCCTCATACCAGAGTTTATAGGACGCTTTCCAATCCTAGTTACTTTGTCAGCTTTAACTGAGGAGCAACTTGTGCAGGTAACATTTCATAGCACTTCCTTAAATTGGCGTGCGAGTGTACAAAGTGAAATTGGCACCACTTGATACCTATGGGAAGTACATTATAGGTGATAGATGTAACACTATGATTTTGGTTGTGATAAAGTTGTTCTTGAATTTTAGCTGGAACAAGCAGTTCTTACCCACATATTAGTAAATTGAGTTTTGTTTTATTTATAAAAGATAAATTCATTAAATCAATTATCTTCTAATAAATATATATATTTATGGACTAAATTATGGGCGAATTTCCAGGCTTGCAATTTTATTTTTTGTTGACAGTTACTGGCCCAAATATGCTTGTATACTTGTAAATGTTGCATAGGGATTGTATTCCTTCTCTTTATCAAGGGATAACCACTTCGAATCAAAAAATAATAATAATAATAGGGGGGGGGGGAACTAAACACTGAGTTTTTGTCTGAAAAAATTAAGTATTATTGTTACTGAAAAAATTGTTTGGTATTCTACTAAATACTAAATATGGAATAGATGTTTTCTTGATTCTTTTAGTAAGTATTTTACATTAATATATTAGGAAAAGGGAAAATAAATTTTTAGAAGAAAAAGTTAATGCAACTAAATGACAAAAAGTTCCTTAAATGGGAACGATTGAATTCGTTAAGTAGCCTTTATTTTCCTCAAGTAAGAATGATCAAATTCAATGGGTCTTTATTTGGCTACTCCTTAACAAGGTACTCTTTTTATATTACTAATTGTTGAGAAAAAATTTGATGCAGGTGCTTACAGAACCAAAAAATGCTCTTGGAAAGCAGTACAAGAAGTTATTTAGCATGAACAATGTAAGTTATCTATGCCTGTTGTAATTCCTTCTGCTCTTATCCTTTTTATTTGACTATGTTGCTTGGATTCTTCTTTTTTCTTAAAGTAACCGTGTCTGACACTCGTTTCTAAAACATGGATATGGGGATATAACCTCCAAGTATAAGTTAACTCTTTAATCATTATCTAATTTCAGGTGAAGCTAAATTTTACACCAAAAGCATTGAGATTAATTGCTAAGAAGGCAATGGCTAAGAATACAGGTGCCAGGGGTTTAAGAGCTATACTGGAAAGCATTCTCACTGAAGCGATGTATGAGGTATTTGAGGCCCCTAAGTTTTGAATGAATTTCAAACAAGCATATGAGTTTAGTATAGATTATGTTTCTTGGACTCTTGCACGGATGTCGGATATGGGTATGGTTGGACTTTTGTAAGTTTTTCCATGTATTTGGAGAATCCTTGGAAGTCATGTCTCATATCCACATATCGGACACATATACTTTGAAAAAAATAGAGTCCAAGCAACATGGGGCATAGATATATCCTTATGAAATTAAAAGTTTCATGTTGTGAAGCATTTGATGCATGTATGTTTCAGATTCCAGATGTAAAAATTGGACACAATAAAGTAGATGCTGTTGTGGTTGACGAGGAATCAGTGGGTTCAACAGATATCCCTGGATGTGGAGGGAAGGTTCTTCGTGGGGACGGCGCATTGGAGCATTACTTTGTCAAAGCCAAGTTGAAGGATTCTATTGTAAGTTTTAGCCTGTAATAGCATCTACCTCTTTTGATCATATATCAGTGTGCTGTGTGCTATTCATTTATATGGTATATTTGACTTCATTGGCACTTGCTGGTTGAGTGGTAAATCAGTTTTACATAATCACAACATTATTTGATGACCATGATTGTTGCGTGTACTTGTTTTCAGGAAAACCTTCCAGGACAGCAGCAGGCGGAAGGAGAATCGGAGGTTTCATCGAGAGCCATGAGCTTGTAGCAATTTTCCCAGGAAAGCTGTTGCTGTACAGTGGTAAAAATAATTTTTATTTGTAAAAGTATCATTCATTCATAGGTCCATTTATCTTGTATAACAGCATAAATTTTGGTGCCATAGTTGAATAGAGAGATACAAGAAAAGGAAAAGGAAAATAACAATGTAGCATCTTAAAGAAGAAGCAACGGCATCTGATGTAAAATTTTTGTTCAATACATACATTGTAATTTATTGTAACATTTTCATTAAAGGACAATAAGCTTTTATTTATTTATCACGTTTATTTAAAGAAAATAACACATCATAACATTTTAGCATATAAAGTTATTTGAAAATTTGAATTAAACTTATTTAATTTTGAGTCAAAGGGAGCGTTAAAGGGACCTCAATAATTAAAGTGAATATTATTTTCTCTAGAGATTTTGGGTTGAGCAATAGCATTCATAGGATGAGTGTACGTGTCGAAACGATTTTTCCCTCAACAGGTCAAAAAAAGGTGAGATTTTGAAAACCACATTAATTTTTAATTTACCTCTTTCAATTAATTTAATTTAAAAACAAATGCGATTTAAAAATCACTCGTTTCGAAAAATTTTAGATTTCCTTTATGATAAAAAAAACAGTTCGAAGAGTCGCCACCAATCCTTGATTAGGGTGTGATTGAGCACCCAAAAATGTTGTCATTTTAAATAAAAATAATAATTTTAATTAAAACAACAAGTTAAGGTATGCGTTACCAAAATCCGAGTTCGGGAGTCGATTACGTGCAGGGAAGGATTAGCACCCCCACAACGCCCTAAAACGATACCTAGTCGATTAATTAATGTCTTTGCAATGAACTTTACAAATTCGATTTTAATTTGATTTTTGATCCCATAAAACAAAGATGTAAATTTAAAACATTCAAAAACACTCAAATAAATTAAATTAAAATTACCGAGTCGTTTTAGAAAGATAAATAATGTTCGATTATTTACAAATATCGAGACCAGATCTTAAAGATATAACAACCTTTTCTCAATATATTTAAATAATCGAACATTTCTTTTTCTCTCGTTCCCAAATTTTAGGTGACGAATCAATTTTTCGGTTTCACTTTCAGGATACACTTTTATTTTAAAATCATTAAAAGCGGACCTCAAATCAGTTATGACTGCCCACTTAAAACAATCTTAAATTTAAAATATATTACCCTTAATCCAATTATGAATATGTCGAGTTATTCAAGTGAGGCTATCATGCAAATTATGCAAAAATGATGTCATGCCAAAATTAATTAAAAAACATTAAAAATATCATACAACGTAACATACAAAAAAAATATGTACACATATTTTAAATAAAAATCATAAACCATGCATATTAACATCTTAGGCATACACGTGACCTAAATATAAAAGCAAAATCATAACATGTTAAACTATAAATTAAAAAAGTATATATATATATACATAAATGTAATGACTAAATTCAAATACACATAAAATTAAACATACTAATTAAAAATTAAAACAAAGACTTAAAGAAAAACAAACATAAATATAATGGACTTAAGCCTAAAATAAAGTATGGTGATATGGTACATACATGCATACAACGACATTGACATACATTAGAATTATACAATAAAACATACTATTAATAACTCGATTTCATATTCAAAATTACCATGAAGGACCAAAATAAAATAAAATAAAGATAGGCATGCAAAAATGTAAATCTAACAATAAACTAAACGAACATGCCATAGGTCCAAAGTGTAAAGAAAATAAACAGCATGACTTTTCCATAAAAATTTCATTTCTAGGCACCTCAAACCTAATATAACCCAAGTGCTACATAGGACCAAAATGCAAGTTCCCAAAATTACATATCAAATGTAAAAACAGTAAGAAAATAGCCCCAACACAACACTGGACTGAAGTGAAACACGGAGAAAATTAAGAGACAACATTAATATACCAGTAAAGCTCGACTTAGGGATCAAGACGACACGGTTCAAAGCTACGAGGACCTATATAGCTATTACCCCAACTTCTAAAACGCGGTTCATCTTCCCCTGAGAACAACACGCTGCCGTTTTGACCCTCTGGAACGACACCGTTTTGGCGTACAAATATATGGGATACTAGGGTAAATTTCATAGCCCTAATTCATTCTCATCTTAGCTTAAAAAACCCCCAGCCGTTTCTCTTCTTCTTTCACTCTCTCCCGACGCAGACAGCCCCAACGAGAGCTTCCAAGGGTCTCACAACCTCAACCGCCCACCGCAAGCCGGTGACCAAAAACCAACCTCACTGTAAGACCAAAACCTAAAACAAACTAGACCACCACACAAAACCGAGCCTTCAAACTCAAAACCCCGGACACCAACGACGACTGAGCAAGCCAAACGACCTCCAATAGTTCACAAGCTAAGGGTCTTTAAACTCTCCTCTTCTAAGATAAATGCTTCCTTATCTCTCTATTTCTATTCTATTTACTCACATAAATTTACATGCAAAACAATTTGAATATAAAAAAGAAACAGAATACCTTCTGAAAATTGGATATTTCCTTGTTGTTTTCTTTCCGAAAAATGGGTAGGAACCCTTACATTGATTGCTTTGGTTTATCGAAAACAAGGTAAAGATCCAAAGCCCTTTACAAATCTTCTTTTTTTTGTTATTTGATATCCCCGAATACCCTCCGTTACAAATGTTTTCCTCCCCTGTTGTTGATGATTTCTGTTTCGAATGGCTACTTTGTTTTATATCTGTTGGCGAATTTTTGTGTTGGTTTCTGGTTCCTCCACCGAGAGTCCCCTGTTGTGTTTTTATGATGTCTCTCCCTTTTTTTTGTTTTCAGTCGTTCCCCCCTGTAATGGTGTCTGATGGTTGATCCCTAATCCCCCACGTTTCCAATGGTTAATCTCCTTTTACTGATGATGGGTGGTTATTTCCTAAAAAGCAAAACTGCTAAAAACCGACCCTCAAACTGCTCTCTTCTTGTGCATATATCTGTTGTCCATTGGGCTTGAATGGGGCCTGTAATTGGTTTGCTTCGGGCCTGCTCCGACCTAGACTCGGATAAAAACGAGCATCTACAGTACGTTCATTGTTAATTGGTTGTGAGAATTTCGAATATATATTATTTTGTAATCATTCTAAATTAATCAATTTTTTGAAATACGAGCAACATACATAAATATAAAAGCAGCCACAGATTGAAAATAAATATTTTCAGTGCCTCAGGTTCAATAGAATTCAGAGGACTCTAGAAGGATGATCTTTCTTTATATTCATTAAGTATAGTCCCCATCTATATATTAAATAATTTCGATCATTTTGCACTATTACATTCATTCTTGAGACTCACACTTGTGCTACTAACAAGGCTGCAACTATTGGGTCGCGGACGATGTACAATACTAAGCAAACAACATCGTAGCCACAAGGAATGTGAAAATCGTTTATTTCATTCCGTTTGTTTTTAGAAAATAGATTTTCATAAAAATGAATTATATATTTGTTTAAAATAAAGTGTTTGGATGATATCATTGTAGACACCCGTTTTGTCCGGATATTATTATTATTATTATTATTATATTTTATTATTAATAATAATGTTAACGTTATTTATGTTATCATCTTACAGGCCAAGGTACACCAAGCACAAATCAAGCCCCAAATTACAAACAGTGCACGTCATCCATGTTGATCACCAATTTTGAACATGTTACGAGTATATTTGGATGATAAAGTCTTCTTAACATTTAATCTTCTATCTCTTATCTTTCCAACGCACTTTGAACCGTATCAATCCGATATCAGTAGCTCGAGATATGCTCAGATAAATGAAGACTGTGCAAGCTGGAAAATTAATACGGGATTTACGAATTTTCAATAGATCTTTGTTTTCCATTCACTTGCACAATATACACGTTGGAACAACATCTTGTTTAGCACGTGCATCTTGTTATTATAACTATATATACTTGCATTAGCATTTATCATAACAGCATGTTATTATTTATTTTGTTGACTCACGTGCATTCACATTCATGGCAGTATACATAGCATTCGTGTGCTTCATTTGCATTCATATATAATTATTTGTTAGCTCATTAATGTTTGTCATCTTAGCATTCATGCATACGTGTTTGTTCATGTAAAATAAAAAGACTTGTCATGCTTTTCACGTATTAGGATATCATTTGTGTAAGTCTTTGCATTCAACTTTGCATCCAGCACTTTCACGTGTTATTATTGTAGTTTAATGTTAATAAGCATGCATCATGGTTCACAAAGCACAAGGACATTCACGCAGTAAGTAAACAAATTATAAGGGTTTAATATAATTGAATTACTTGTTTATTCTTTGCACATATAGGAACACAAGAATCTGCCCCATGCTGAAGTGTTTAGTGGAGCACTAGAAGACAAATCCCACTCACAAAATATGACAGCAAGGGAATTAAAATATAGCACAAGTGGGTAACGTGTTGGAGCACCTTCAAGACCATTCCAGCTCACCAAAACACATGAGAAGAGTTATTGGAGCATAAGGACACGCAAGGCAGCACCAAAACGTGGAGGGAACCGTTAGCAATAGAGAGAGATATTTTGAGCAGTCAATAAAACCGTAAAGGATCGGTTTCTATTAGCAGTTAACCAACAAAAACGTGGGAAAAGAAACAGTTAACAGGGGGAACGAGGGAGTTTTTTTTGGGGGGAGATTACACAGAGGATAGAAAAGAAAGGAAAAAGATTTTTTAACAAAAAAAAGGGTTTAGGGGGTAGGAAGGATTCTTCTGTTCCTACCAGTCGAGGGAGGAAAAGGCATGTAAAAGAGGGTTTTGGCCTTCCCCCATTTTGGTCATCTCAATGAAGAGGATTTTTTTTTTACTTTTGCAATTACAAATTACAGCACTAGCTTTTAAACAATTCAACCAAAACATTCATGATCGAAGAGGGAAATAAAAATCAGGGAGCAACAAAACATAACCAAAAATATTATCAGTTATTAACCATCAGCAGTAAAGATACAACCCGTTCGAGCCAAAATCAATAACAACTAGAGAACCAACATTAAAAAACCAGGCAGAAAAAGAGTAAAAATAGAGAAACCTTACCCCGTTTGGATGAGCCACCGTCACTGTCGCTGGAGCAAAAGCGAAGCCTCTCGTCGTCAAAGGGTTGCCACGATACGATGGTTTGAATCTTGAAGCTTTGTGGTTCTCGGTCGAGCCAAAGGAATAGTAGAGGA